TTTATCCTCACCCGAGGACACTTTTTTCCATTTTTTGTTCAGATAGAGTAGGAGGGGGAGAGAGGGAGAGAGAGCGAGAGAGAGACAGAGAGACAGAGAGACAGAGAGACAGAGAAACATCGATGTGAAAGGGACACCCCGAATGGCAGCCACCTGCACAACCAACCAGGGCCAGGGACAAACTGCAACCGAGGCACACGCCCTTAGTGGGAACCGAACCCGGGTCTCTCTCAACCACAGACCGACGCTCTAGCCACTGAGCCAAACCGGCCAGGGCAGAAAAATTATTTTAAAAAAACAGTGGATATTGTGGCTGAGAGGAAGGGCTTCTGGAACCCCAGGGGTTCCTCTTAAAGGGCCCAGGCACAGACCTACTGGGACTCACACTCTCTGAGCTCCAGCACCAGGTGGCAACTCAAAAGACACAAGAGACATATGGGAGGAACTGAATTGTCAGGCTTCAGGGTGAGGGCTGGCGGGGTAGCTTTCTCCCAGACAGAAGTACTGGCAAGGCCATTGTTCCTTTGCAGACCCTTCCCCCTGCAGGTACAGGTGGACATCATATCTTAGTCTCCATTAACCTGGCTAACACCATGCACTCAGCTCTAAGGATTTCCTGATAACTCATGCTACCCAGCTTGTAGACCCACCCAAGCCACTTTCGGTGGCATTTCCATACAAATGGCCTGTCTTTACTCATATTGTGGATTTTCCTAAAATCTCTCAAAGATTCACAAGCCCAAAACAAGTAGCATCTGGCCTTGGTGTGCCCTCTCTACCTCTTGCTAAGCAGCCCCAAGTACAGCACTAGAGGCAGCTGGCCTCAGTTCTCACCTTGGTCTCTCCTGGACAACGCCAAACCCAGCACAAGTGGTAACCATCTGCAGATCACTTTGTAGATCATGCCAGGTGTCCCTGGGCAGGGTACAGGCAGTGGCTTACCTTGGCTTGAACCTCCCAGGAGGTCCCACAGACAGTGTACCCAGTGTACAGCTTCAGACCATGCTGGAATACCACCCAGCCACCTCTGTGAGCGACATTCAAGGGGCAGACGGTGGGCACCAGAGCCCTGCTGAAACAAGTTTTGCACTGTGGGGTCAGCCTCTGCACAGCAGCTCATCCATTATAGTCACAGCCAGTTCTTGCAGCCGATTGGCCCATGAATCAGTCTCTCACATTCACATACCAACAGCAATCAAGGCTCCACTACAACAGGAGTTGTGCATTGCCTAAACTAGGACATACCTGGTGTGTCCTGCTTAGGTGACTGAGGAGGCTGTGCAACTGGACCTCACAGAACATCTACTAATTTTTAAATTTTCTTTAAAAAATTATTTTGTGTGTTAATCCTCACCCAAGGAATTTTTTTCCATTGAATTTTAGAGAGAGTGGAAAGGAAGGCGGAGGGTGGGGGGAGAGAGAAACATCGATTGGTTACCTCCTGCATGCCTCCCAAACTAGAGCCAGGGATTGAACCTGCAACCCAGGTACATGCCCTTGACCGGGATTCAAACTTGTGACCCTTCAGTGCATGGGCTGAAGCTCTAACCGCTGAGCAACACCAGCCAGGGCTTGTTGGCTTTTTCTATTTCATTGATTTTTGGTCTTTGCTAGTTCTTTCCTTTCACTTTTTGGGGGATAATATGGTCTTTTATTTTCTAGCTCCTTGAGGTCAAATTTTAGGTTATTGATTTAGACCCCTTTTTAAAGTCTGTTTTATCTGATATAAATATTGCTACCCTGGCTTTCTTTTTTGATTCTGTTTTCATGGTATATCTTTTTCCATCCCTTTACTTTCAGTCTGTGTATGTTTTTCAATCTGAAGTGTCTCTTGTAGAGAGCATATGTGTAGGTCTTGTTTTCTTAACCATTCAGCTACCCTATTTTTTTTAAATCCTCACCTGAGGATATGTTTATTGATTTTGAGAGAGAGAGGAAGGGAAAAAGAGAGAGAGAGGGAGAGAGAGAGGAACTGATCAGTTATCTCCCATATGTGCCCTGACTGGGGATTGAACCCACTTCCTAGGTTTGTGCCCTGACCAGGAATCGTACCTGCAACCTTTTGGTATAAGGAACCACACTCCAACAGAACTACCTGCTGGGGCTACCTTGTGTCTTTTGATTGGAGCATTTAATCCATTTGCATTTAAAGTACTTGTTGATAGATATATATTTATTGCCATTTATTATTCATAATTTTGACCTTTTATGAAAAAGGAAGGATAATTTAGAGGATGGGACCAAGAACCCAGAGAGCAGAACCAAAAGCCATGGAGAATTATTCTCAGACCCTGAGGCCTAATTATGGAACTGCTAACTTTGCCCAGACAGATTAATGATTATTTTCTTTAACATTTAAAAAGTATCATATAGCATGCCGGAGTGGCTCAGTTGGTTGAGTGTCATCCTGTGCACTGAAAGGTTGCAAGTTTGATTCCCGGACAGGGCACATACCTGAGTTTTGGGTTCGATCCCTGGTCAGGGCAGCTGATTGATGTTTCTCTCTCACATCCATGTCCCCCCCCCCATCTCTCTCAGCATGTCCTCAGGTGAGGATTAAAAAAAATAAGTCCTGGCCGATGTTGTTCAGTGGTTAGCACATCAGCCTGCGCACTAAAGGGTCACGGGTTTGATTTCTGTTCAAGGGCATGTACCTTGGTTGCAGGTTCAATCCCCAGCTCCTGGGGCACGTGAAGGAGGCAACCAATGGATGTGTGTCTCTCACATCGCTATTTCTCTCAGTCTCTCTTTCCCCCCTCCCTTCCTACCTTCTACTCTCTAAAAACTGATGGAAAAGTATCCTAGGGTGAGGATTAACTAAGAATAATTTTTAAATTTTTGTCTTTCAATATTTAAAAAATAATAAAATAAAAAGTGTTTAAATCACCATTTCTTTGTATGTAATATGTCATTTTCTTCTGGCTGCTTTAAAAAAATATTTTATTTTTTGGTTTTCAGAAATTTGACTACAATATGCCTAGGTATTGTTTTCTGTGGATTTATTCTACTTGGGGTTTGCCAAATTTCTTGAATCTGTAAATTTTGTCTTTTATCAAATTTGCCAAGTTTCTGCCCATTATTTTTAAAAACATATTTTCTGCCCTTTCCTCCTTTTCTTTGGGGCCTCAAATTACATGTATATTAGATCTTTTGATTTTTTTCTTACCCATCCCTGAGACTCTATTGTTTTGTTTTGTTTCCTAAAAATTTTCTCTCTACTTTTCAGATTGGATAATTTCTGTTGGTCTGTCTTACATTCATTAACTCTTTTATTCTCTTTCTCCCTCCACTAGAATGCAAGTCCCACGAAGACAGGAAACTTTGTCTCTTCTGTTCTGATGCCTTCTAAGTACCAAGAGCAATGCTTAGTACTTAGTAGGCACTTAAATATTTTTGAAAAAGCAAATACCATAAATAGGAGAATTAATATCATTATACTTGGAAAAAGATAGGAAAATATAAAGGAGACCATAAAATAAATGTTTAAAATTATTAAAAGTAAGAGGAATGAGAAGCATGACAAAAATCAAGGGACTGTTAAAATCAGATTTGATAAACAAATACCAGTCAAGAAATGAAAAATATAGCAACTAAAAACAAAATAAAAAAACCATAAGGGATAAATTAGATTTAGAAGATAGATATGAGGAAACCACAGAATAGGGGTGATGAGATTAAAATTATATAAAACAAATTAAAATTTTGAATAAGAAGGCCTGGCATGTTTTTAATAGGAGTTCCAAAGGGAGAAAATAGTGACAATGGAGGAGAGGTAGTATTTAAAAAGACAATAGAAGAGAATTTTCTAGATTTGAAAAAATCTGTAGATTAAAGTAATATCATTTAGAGTCCCAAACATTCATTAACCTTTCTTCTGTTATCTCCATTCTTTTGTTAAGACCGTCCAGGGAATTTTTTTAGTTTCAGATTATATTTTATAGTTCTAGACTTTTCATTGGTTATTTTTTATAGTTTCTGTTTCTCAGTTGAGCTATCCTATTTTTCATTCTGTACATTGTTATCTTTATGTTCTTGAGCATACTCATGCATAACTGGTTTAAAGTCCTTTACTGCTAATTTCAGCATTTGGATCATCTCAGAGTCAGTCTCTGCATTTACTCTTGAACTTCTTCTCTTTCTTTTGACACCTTTCTAGCATTTTCTGTGTTATTTTGGATTGTATTTTAGTTGTTGTAAATCATATATTGTAGAGATTTTGGATTCTGTTTAGTCCCTTTAAAGATTGCTGATTTTGTTTTCTTTTGTAAGCACTTAACTTGACTGGACTCAAACTTGAAACTATCTTCTCTGTGGTGTGTGGTAACTCAAATTTTAGTTCATTTAAGTGGTTAAGCAGAGATTTGGGCAGAATTCATACAGAGAATTTAGGTACCCCCTGTCTGTCTGGATTCCCCCTTGACTTTCTAGTGGTCGTGATGACCACAAAACACTCCTTTGATCCTTCAAGTCAATAAGATGGAAGTTTTTTTTTTTTTTAATCCTCACCTGAGGATATTTTTCCATTTTTTGTACAGATAGAGTGGGAGGGATAGAGAGGAAGGGAGAGAGAAACATCGACGTGAAGGGACACATCGAGTGGCTGCCACCCGCACGACCAACCAGGGCCGGGGACAAACTGCAACCGAAGTACGTGCCCTTAGCGGGAACCGAACCCGGGTCTCTCCGGACCGCAGGCCGACGCTCTAACCGCTGAGCCAAACTGGCCAGGGCAAGATGGAAGTTTTTTTAAATTGGAACTTTAGTTACCTTGCACGACTGACTGGGCCTATTTGCAAGCTAAAACCTGTAGAAATGGTAAACACATCCAGTATTATCTCTTCTTGTGTCAACTCTCTTCCAGTAAATGCTTAGAATAACTAGGTATTTAATAGACACACCATATGGCATGGTGAAAAATCATTAAAAACTATTTCCTATCTATTTTCTCCCCATCCTCCTGTGCTGACCATGTCACCTTGAACAGAATTGTGTTGTTACAGGTCTCAGTGTCATTCGAGGATGTGACTGTGGACTTCAGCAGGGAAGAGTGGCAGCAACTGGATTCTACTCAGAGGCGCCTGTACCAGGAGGTGATGCTGGAGAACTACAGCCACCTGCTCTCAGTGGGTAAGCACAGCCACCCTATGAGTCTGTGAGGAGCTTGTTATGGGTAAAATTGTGTCCCCCAAAATAAAGTATGTTGAAGTCCTCATTACCTGAGAATATGACCTTATTTGGAAATAGGGTCTTTACAGAAGTAATCAAACTAAAATGAGGTTATTACGGCAAGTCCTAATTCAGTGTGGCTGGTGTCTTTATAAAACAGGGACTTCTAAACACAGATATAGACACCTAGAGAGGGAAGACAATGTGAAGACACACAAGTAAAAAATGGCCATGTGACTGGAGTGATGCTAAGCCAAGTAATGCCTGAGACCAAAGGAGAGAGGCATGAAACAGTTCCTTCCCTAACACCTTCACAAAGAGCATGGCCCTGCTGACACTCTGATTTTGGATTCATTCAAGTCTCACTCATAACTGATTTCGGTGATTTAAATGATGATATTTGAGATTTTGAGTTGATGATTTGGGGCTTAAGAGTTGATACTGGAATGATAAAGACTTTGGGGGATATTGGGATGGGATTAGTGTATTTTGAACATGGGAAAGATATTAATTGTGGGGGATCAGAGAGCAAGTTCCGATGGGTTGAATTCTGTCCCTCCCCAAAAGGTGCATGGAAGTCTTAAACCCTGATACCTCAGAATATGACCTTATTTGGAAATAGGGTCTTTATAGAGATAATCAGGTTAAAATAAGGTCATGGGGGTGGGTCCTAATCAAATATCACAGGTGTCCTTATAAAAGAAGGAAATTTGGGCACAGAAATAGACACTCACAGACAGAAGGTGATGGGAAAACACACAGGGAGAAGAGAGCCATGTGGTGACAAGAGTGTTGCATTTATAACCCAAGGAATGCCAAAGATTGTCAGCAAATACCAGAAGCTAAAAGATGCAAGGAAGGATCCTCCCTTGTAGCCTCCAGATAGAACATGACCCTGCTGACACCTTGATTTTGGAATTCTAGCCTCCAGAAATATGAGACAATAAATTTCTGTGGTTTTAAGTCAGCCAGTTATTGGTACTTTGTTATACCAGCCCTAAGAAACTAAGAACCATTTCCATTCTCAGCTGCTGAGTGCTCTGGGATGTCCTAAGTGTATGATGATGTCATTCTTTTTTTTTTTTTTTTTTTTTTTAATTTATCCTCACCCGAGGACATTTTTCCATTTTTTGTTCAGGTAGAGTGGGAGGGAGAGAGAGGAACAGAGAGAGAGAGAGAAGCATCGATGTGAAAGGAACACATCGAGTGGCTGCCACCCGCACAACCGACCAGGGCCGGGTAGAAACTGCAACCAAGGTACGCGCCCTTAGCGGGAACCGAACCCGGGTCTCTCAGGACTGCAGGCCGACGCTCTAACCGCTGAGCCAAACCTGCCAGGGCTGATGATGTCATTCTTGATTGGTCTGAGATTCTTTAGTCCCTTTCACCTCTGTGATTATTACTGTTTTCCCAATGAAATGTGATTACTTTTCTAAAGAACAAATGGAAAGCAATTAGTTGGACCTAGTTCTCTATTATGTCCAATTAACAGGGTATGAAGTTCCCAAACCAGAGGTTATCTTCAAATTGGAGCAAGGAGAGGAGCCATGCATATTGGAGGGGGAAACCCCATATCAGAGCTGTTCAGGTGAGTGAGTGTGACCCAAGCAGATGGGGGATATGGAAATACTTATTTTTTCTGAGAGAGGCTGGTGCCTTTAAAATGCTGTTGCTGCTTTTCTTGAAGGTTTAAATTTTAGAAACTGCTTGAGAATAAATAACATTGGCCTCTCAGGTACCAAATTGCGTTTTCCCTTTATTTTCTTTACTGTTATCAACTGTCTTCTTTGCCTGGGTCTCCTCCAGGAGAATTGCTGCAATTCCTGTACTCTGGATCATATGCCAGCCCTTTTCACTGTGGATGTTGATTTCTTAAATATTCTCTTCTTCCATCACATTTTATGCTTCATTACTTAACCCCAACCCCAGGGTCTTAGAATCTTATCATATACAGTCAGGTTTTAAAGGATTTGCCTTCATTGAAAATCAGTTTGTTGCCTCACTCCTATTTTTCACTTTCGTCTTCTCACTCAAAGATACCAATAAACTGTCATCTGCAAACGGCCTCACCTCCTCTCTTTGTGCACACCACCTTCGGATTCCTCACTCCTCTCCACCTCCCTTATCTCCATGCCTCTCTCCCATCTTCTGACTTTGTGATCACTGTCACGTAGCATTTTTCTTTTAAAATCAACTTTTTCTTTTTATTGGGGTGACACTAGTTAAAATGATACAGGCTTCAGGTACACAATTCCACAACACATCATCTGTACACTGTATTGTGTGTTCACCTCAAGTCAAGTCTCCTTCCATCACCATTTATCCCCCTGATACCCTTTTCTACCTCCCTCAGGCAATCACCACATTGTTGCCCATGTTCATGAGTTTTTTCTCCTTTTTTTTCACTTTTGCTCAATCCTTCCATCCCCCCACCAGGACCCTATCTTCCCCAACAGCTGTCAGTTCTATGAGTCTGTCTGTTTTGCTTCTTAGTTCATTTTGTTCATTAGATTACACTTATGAAGGTATAGTTTACATACAATAAGGTGTATCCATTTTAAGCGTGCAGTTTCTTGAGTTTCGACAGGCTACACACTAGTAAAACCACCACCCCAATCATGATATATAACATTCCATCACAAAAAAATGTTCCCTCATGCCCCGGTAGTCAATACCTACTACCACTTCAGCCCCAGGCAACTATTAACATGGTTTTTGTCACTGTAGATTATATTTATCTTTATTAATGTTTTATATCAATGAAATCATACTCTCTACTTTTTTCATTCAGCATAATGATTTTGTGATTTATTCATTATTTGGTTATTATGAGCTGCAGTGAATGTTTTAGTATGTCTTTGTGTGGACCTGTTTTTATTTCGCTTGGGTAAATACCTAGGAGTGGAGTTGCCAGGTCATATAATAAGTACATGGTTATCTTTTTTGTTGTTGTTAATCCTTGTCAGAGGATATTTTTTCCATTGATTTTTAAAGAGAGTGGAAGGAAAGGGGTGGGGAGAGGGAGAGAGAAACATAAATGTGAGAGAGACACATAGATTGGTTGCCTCCCACATGCACCCCAGGCCAGGGGTTGAGCCTGCAACCCAGGTATATGCCCTTGACTAGGAATCAAACCCATGATCCTTCAGTCCGCGGGCCAATGCTATAACTACTGAGCCAAACCGTCCGAGGCAGGAGTGGAGTTGCCAGGCATATAATAAGTGTATGCTTATCTTTATAAGAAATTGCCAAACTGTCTTCCAAAGTGGCTATGCCATTTTACATTCCCAACAGCAATACCTGAGAATTCCTGTTGCTCTACATTCTCGTCAACGCTTGCTATCATCAGTCTCTTTAATTTTTGCTATTATAGTAGATATGTAATGGTATCTCATTATGATTTTAAATTGCATTCCTCTGGTGAATAATGATGTTAAGTATCTTTTTATGTGCTTATTGACCATTTGCACATTTTTATGTGAAGTGTCTATTCAAATATTTTTCTCATTTTTATTGGGTTTGTCTTCTTATTGAGTTGTGTTTTTTATATTTGCTGGATATAGTTCCTTTGCCAAATCTATGTATTGCCAATATTTTGTTTCAATCTGTGGCTTGCAATTTTATGTTCTTACTGGTGACTATCAAAGACCAAAATTTTTAATTTTGATAGAGTTTAATTTATTATCCTTTAGCCCTGGCCAATTTGGCTCAGCGGTTGGAGCGTCCGCCTGCGGTCCAGAGAGACCCAGGTTCGGTTCCCGCTAAGGGCATGTATCTTGGTTGCAGTTTGTCCCCGGCCCTGGTTGGTCGTGCGGGTGACAGCCACTCGATGTGTCTCTTTCACATCGATGTTTCCCTCTCTCTTCCTCTCTCTCCCTCCCACTCTATCTGTACAAAAAATGGAAAAATGTCCTCTGGTGAGGATAAAAAAAAATTTTAAAAAAACACAAAAAACTTGTTAGTATTTTTTGTGATCTATTTAACAAATCTTTGCCTGTGATAAGGTCACAAGGATTTTCTCATATTTTCTTCTGTATATTTTATCATTTTAGCTTTTGTAATTTAGGTGTATGATTTATTTTGTGTGTTTAATGTAAGGATGGATGTTCAATTTTTCAGTATGAAATCCAGTTGTTCCAGAACCATTTATTAAAGAAACTTTCTTTTCCCCACTGAAATACCTAGGCTTGTTCATCAAAATCAATTGACTTTACATATGTGAACCTGTTTCTGAACTCTGCATTCTGCTCAGTTGGTCGATATGTGTTTTTGTTTTAAAATATTGGTTTTATTATTATTTAGGTATGGTGAGGCCAACAGATCCAGAGATGACTGCCACTGAAAACATAGTTTGTAACTCATGGTTCCCAAGGGGAGGGGCCATGCCACACCATGCAAGATCACAAGGGAAATCACCAGGGTCAGCCAGGAGGCAGAAGTTGCGCGGGAAGAGCATGGGCAAGAGCCTTTATTGTGATTTTCATGGGAAAGAATGAGTGAGGCAGAGTAAACAGGCTGGGAATGTTTAGGATTAGGTAGTTTTGAGTAATTTAATGGAGGCTCTGGGATGTAGGAACTGTCCCTGGTAGCCTCTTATTTGGCCCTGAGGTAATTAGGGCAGGGAAATAGTAGCTCAACCTGTGAAAGCTTGATAAAGGAGAGAGTTGGTGGATATGGCCTATGAATTGGTTGGTTTGCATATGAAAGGCATGCTCACAGGGAAGTCATTTACTATCTCTAGGTGTTACTAGCCTTCAGAGGGACAGTCTTTCTAGGATCAGCAAGGCACCAAGTGGCAGAGCATCAAGAATACAGAAAATATAGTAAATCCACAGGCTTTTTGGCAAACCCATACGTGCTTTTATAATGAGTCTTGAAATCAAATAGAATGAGTTCTCCAACTTTGCTTGTTTTTATTACTTTGGCTCTTCTAGCTCATTTGCATTTCCATATGCTTTTAGAATTAGTTTGTAATTTTTATTTTATTTTATTTTTTTAATAAATTATTTATTTATTTTTTTGTTACAGATATTTTACCTTTTTTACCCCATTGGCACCCCCCTCCCCAACCCACCCCCACCCTGACCCCGGCTTAGTTGTCCATGTCCATTGGTCATGCATACATGCATATAAGTTCTGTGGTTTATCTCTTCCCACCCCCCCACCCCCTCTTCTGAGGGATGTCAGTCTGTGCCCTACTTCCATGTTTCTGGGTCTACTGTATTCCTCAGACTGTTATGTTCATTATATTCCGTATATAAGTGAGATCATGTGGTATTTGTCTTTTTCTGCTTGGCTTCTTTCACTTAGGATAATACTTTCCAGGTCCCTCCATGTCGTCTCAAAGAATAAGAGATCTTTCTTTCTTACCGCTGCATAGTACTCCATTGTGTATATGTACCAGCTTTTTTATCCATTCGTCTACTGATGGACACTTGGGCTGTTTCCAGATCTTAGCTATTGTAAATAGTGCTGCTATGAACATGGGGGTACATATATTCTTCCTGATTGGTGTTTCAGGCTTCTTAGGGTATATTCCTAGCAGTGGGATCACTGGGTCAAATGGAAGTTCAATTTTTAATTTTTTTAGGTAACACCATATTGTTTTCCATAGTGGCTGCACCAGTCTGCATTCCCACCAGCAGTGTATTACAGTCCCCTTTTCTCCACACCCTCGCCAACACTTGTTGTTTGATGATTTGTTGATGGCGGCCATTCTGACAGGTGTGAGGTGATACCTCATTGTTGTTTTAATTTGCATCTCCCTGATGATTAGTGATGTTGAGCATTTCTTCATATATCTTTTGGCCATTTGTATGTCCTGTTTGGACAGGTGTCTATTCAGCTCCTCTGCCCATTTTTTAATTGGGTTCTTTGTCTTCCTTTTGTTGAGTTGTATGAGCACTCTCTATATATTGGAAATTAACCCCTTATCTGATACATCATTGGGAATGATGTTCTCCCATACAGTGGGTTGCCTTTCCATTTTGATGATTGTTTCTTTTGCTGTGCAGAAGCTTTTTAGTTTGATGTAGTCCCATGTGTTCATTTTCTCCTTTGTTTCTGTTGCCTTAGGTGATGTATCAGTGAAAATTCTGCTCCGTATGATGTCCGAAATTTTGTTGCCTACATTTTCTTCTAGAATTTTTATGGATTCACAGGTCACATTTAAGTCTATTATCCATTTTGAGTTTATTTTTGTGTATGGTGTAAGTTGATGGTCTAGTTTCATTTTTTTGCATGTAGCTGTCCAATTTTCCCAACACCATTTATTAAAGAGGCTGTCTTTACTCCACTGCATGCTCTTGCCACCTTTGTCAAATATTAATTGAGCGTATTGCCTTGGGTCCATTTCTGGGTTTTCAGTTCTGTTCCACTGGTCTATATGCCTGTTTTTGTGCCAGTACCAGGCTGTTTTGGTTACAGTCGCTTTGTAGTATAACCTGATATCTGGTATTGTGATCCCTCCAACTTTGTTCTTCTTTTTCAAGATTGCTGTGGCTATTCGGGGTCTTTTTTGGTTCCATATGAACTTTTGAAGTATTTGTTCTAGTTCTATGAAATATGTCATTGGTATTTTGATGGGGA